TGTGGTAAGTGCTGATATCTGCAGAGGGGGTGGGGCAGGGCTTGGACACCCCACACCCTTGTGCATGCCAGACACCCCCATGAGCATGGATACCTTCCTGCACACTCACCCCCCACCCCATGCACATCCACACACCCATGTGTACTCCTGTGCACTCACACCTCTCTGCACACTCACCCCACACACATGCACATCTGTTTGCAGTTATGCCCACACCTTGCACAGACACTGCATACACAGGCAGACTGTGACATGCTCAGGCACACACAACCCCATCCACTCCTTTGCATGTGCTCACCATACACATCTTTTATGGATGCACACGGAGATGCTGCCCCTGTTCTCTCTCCCTTGAACATCCACTTTGTGCACACTTGCTGCACACACAGGGAAGTTCATTGTGCACACACAGACCTTCCTACCCTTGCGTGCAGTCTCATGTGCATGGAATTGTCCTTCATGTACACACTGCACCCACCTAACTGCCCCCTTGCATATCACCTGTGCACACATAAATTGTGCACATGCCTACTGTTGTACACTACTGAATACACACCGTCTCTTGATACATGACCACTATGTGTCTGCCCATTTCTCATGCTCCTTTGTACATGCAGAGCCTGATTGTAACACATTCTTTGAGTGTGCACATGGAGAAGCCCCCTGTGCATACACCCATTAACACACACCTGAGCCTGTTACAGATGTGAATAGCGCTGTATACAGGCATACTCTATGCAATAGATGTTCCTCCACTCATACCCAAGTGTACACAGGCACACTTTGTATATTAGTGTATATAATCGACTCCATGTAGAAGGCACAGTAGTTGCATGCAGCATTAGCATACTCTGGGATATCTGCCCAGCAGGGCTTACTTTTCAACAACCCCTCAGGAACCACTCCACAATTTGCCCCCCTTCCTTCACTCCTGCCTCCATACAATCCAGGTCCTGGCAGCCCAGATACCCCAGCCAGAGAACAGAGCAGTACCAGTCTCAGATCCAACAGCATGTTCTATCCCAGGTTGGGGAGGGGATTGGTGTCTGGTGGGTTAGACTGAAGGGAGACTGGGGTTCAGCACATCTGGGTTCTGTCCTAACTCTAGGGCAGGAGAGAATAAGTTTGTTCAGGGAGGGGACTGAGCACAAAATGGTTGGTCCTGGGGTGAGGGAGGGGATATTCTGAGTGATCCCCCAGGTGAATGTGTCCATGTGTCTATCTGTTTTCTCCTCCAGGACCAGGTGTCAAAGGACAAAGCCCTTCAGAGCATAGCGGCCATGTCCTCTGCCCAGCTCATCTCTGCCACTGGCCTCAAGGACAAGTTAGGGGTCCCCAGTTTCACACACCGGCCCTTCCCACCCAGCCCTGGGGTGAGTGACAAGGGAGGGGGGTGCAAAGTGGAAGGGGTACTCAGTGGGCTAGGGAGAACCTCAGGGCTGGGTGGGGCAAAGGGCTGTGGGTCAAGAGTAAAGAGCACTGGAGGGGCAGGGGGCTGTGGATTGGGAGTGAGGGGGACAGGGGGCTTAGGGCTGAGAGTGGCCATTTTCCTCCAGTTAATTATTTCCTCTCTTTGTTCTAGTCCACCGAGTTCTTCCAGTTCTGGCCGGGAGATGCCGACCAGACCAGACCAAACCAGGAGTGAGTATCTATTAACCCTACTGACACACACACACACACACACACACTTCCCCCACCCCACAGCCTGCACCCCCTGCTGGGGTTGGAGTAGCCAGGGGCCTCCCACTACCAGCTCCTGCCCCATTCCCCACAAGCAGTGTCCCCTGTTGCTAGTCAAGTACACTTACTAACCTTTTCCCCCCTCACCACCGCGTTAAGCCATACCCAGTCCCACCAGCTGCTGCATCCCCTGCTGTGCCAGGTCTGTATAAAGGAGGTTTCCTCATATCTTTACCCAGGATGGGGGGCAGAGGGGAGTGCCAAGAGTGCTGAGGGGGAGCTGGGATTCTGGGGGAGTTGAGATGGCATAGGGCTGAGATGCTAAGTGAGGGCTAATGCATGATTATAGGTGGTTGGGGTGTCTTCATTAGGTTGGGTATAATTGTGAGGCACTGGGCATCCTGTTGGGAGGCTAGGAACTCTGGGGGGGTCCAGTTGGACCTTGGCTGGGGGGGTCTCATTGGCAGCAGTGGGACTGATAAGGGAATTTCACCCCAGCATGCTCCTTAGGTTTTGAGGTGCCCATGCCCCCTGTGCCCAGCCCTGCTGTCTGGCCTGGCCACTGCATTGGGTCCCCACACCTGTGCCTGGTCGAGTTTTCTGTTTTTGTGGAGCTGCCAGCTGAGCCCGAGACTGTGAGTAGGGAGTCAGGGGGCTCTGCTGTAGGAGGGTGATGGTTACATTGAGGAGGTACATAGGAAGGAGTTGAATAGAGAGGTGGGTCCCCTGGTATGGAGATGTGGGGGAACAGGTGGGAAATCATGGGGGTGACTAGCTTAGGACAGGGGGTCATAGGGTGAGAAGGGCAGCAAGGGAGGGTCCTGCTGGGGAGCAACCCCAATTTCTGGGGGTTCCTTGCCCTGGGGAGATGAAGGAATTAGGGCCCCCATCCCAGGTAGAATTTTTGATTTTGGGGAGCTCTCAGCACCTGAGGAAGAGTTGGGGTTTCCACCAATGGCAAGATGTCTGATTTTGGGGTGCTCCATCTCCAGTTCAAGCAGCACCTCTTCGTGCACATTGGCTCATCACCCCCACACCCTGCTGATCCTCCACTGGAGGCTGTGGACGTGCGCCAGATCTATGACAAGTTTCCTGAGAAAACAGGGGGCCTGCGGGACCTGTATGAACGGGGGCCATCCAATGCCTTCTTCCTTGTCAAGTTCTGGGTGAGCCCCAAACAGGGCAGCACCGTGGACTCTGGGTCCAGGGGTCACGGGATTGGGACAGGTCTCTGACTCTTTGAACCTGCCTAAGTTTAGGATTCCTCCAACCCCTCCTGCTGTACCCACCCCCACACTGTTCTCCCTGTCACCCCCCTGAAGAATTTTTGTCCCCTGGGATGTCCCTCCCTCCCTTTACTTCCTCCTTCTTGCCCCATTTCCTCCCCCATTCTCCCAGGTATTCCTCCCTCCATGTCTCTACTTACTGAATAGAGAGGTGGATTCCCTGGTATGGGGACGTGGGGGAACAGGTGGGAAATCATGGAGGTGACTAGCTTAGGACAGGGGGTATCTGCACAGGCACAGCTGAGCCCCAACCCCACTCCCTTCCCAACTCTTACCATGTCTCCCCCAGGCAGACCTGAGTGCCCCACTGCCCACAGAACCAGGTACCTTCTATGGAGTGAGCAGCAAGTACGAGGGGCCTGAGCCGCTGGCCATCACCTGTGCCCACAAGGTTTGCTCCTTTGGCAAGCAGGTGGTCGAGAGGGTTGAGGTGAGGATCAGGGTTCAAGTAGGGGGGTAGAGGTCGAGAGGGTGGAGTAGGGAGTAAGTGGGGCAGGAGGAGGAGCAGGGGACAAAGGAGGTGAGGGTGAATGAGGGGAAGGGGGAAGGGAGAGTGCAATGTAGGGAGAGAGAAATGGGGAATGGAGTGGGGGGGGGGGAAGGAAGCAGGGATTGTGGAGCCCAGGGCACAAAAAGTGTGGAGTCTGGAAGGAGAGGGCATGGGTCCCAGCACAAGATCAGGGAAGCAGAAGTGGGTGGGGCTCATCCCACAAAGAGCCCCCTCGTGACAACCCTCATGCCATAACCCCTCTGCTGTCCCCTGCAGACAGAGCTGGGGCACCTCGAGGATGGGTGCTATGTCTTCCAGCTCCTGCACTTCCCACTCTGCGAGTACCTGGTCAATTTTGTGCACAAGCTGCAACAGCTGCCTGAGAAGTACATGATGGACAGTGTGCTAGAGAACTTCACTGTGCTGCAGGTGAGGCAGGGGCACCCCAATACCTATACCCCAACATTGCACATCCAAAGACACAACACCCCACCCAAATCTACCCCCACCCCACACAACACCCACACCCCAGAGCACACTGCAAACTGAGTGTCAGCATCTGCATCCTGTATCCACCTGAACAGCTGTACCCCAAATCCCCTGGCTGCACTCAGCACCACAATACTGTACAGGTACCCCTGAAACACACTGTACTTCAAATACCAGCACCCATACCCTCAACACCTGCATGAGAAAGCCTGGATTGGAGGCGCAAGACAGGGGTTGGACTCCTATTTTGGAGGTTCCCAATGACCCTTTTCTCCCTCTGCCTTCCCAAGGTGGTGAGAAACCGAGACTCCCAAGAGTTGCTGCTCTGCATGGCCTTTGTTTTCGAGGTGTCAGCCAACAAGCGAGGGGCCCAGCACCATGTGTACCGGCTGGTCAAGGACTGACCCCCAGCAGAACCCCACTCCCTTCCCAACTCTTACCATGCCCCCCCCAGGCAGACCTGAGCCCCTTCCCTCTCATCGTTCCCTTCTGCCATGTCTCCCCCAGGCAGACCTGAGTGCAGCACTGCCCACAGAACCAGGCACCTTCTGTGGGGTGAGCAGCAGGTACGAGGGGCCTGATCCGCTGGTCATTACCTGTGCCCATGAGGCCTGCTCCTTTGGCAAGCAGGGGGTAGTCTGTGAGCTTGGGAAGGATTTGGGGAATGCGGGGTGGGGAATGTGGGGTGGTGATGCTCCTCATGCTAAGCCAACGGGGGAGGATCTTTTCAAGGGGTCAGCCTTGGGGGACACCCTGTCTGGGCCTCAAATACTGTCCACCTATTATCCATGACACCTGTGGGAGAGGCCTTGCTCACATTTGGGGGCCTCAACATGTTGTCATGGGATAAATCTTGGGGGTCAGCCCCTGAGGTGTTCCCCAGTGTGTGACAGGGGGGCATGGCCCCATTAACCTCTAGAAAGCAGTGGAAGCTCCTGTGGAGGTCCCAGAGACAGAGCTGGAGGCTCCTGCTGAGGAGTCTTAGGGGAGGTCACTCAGGGGGAGGGTCTAAGTGACCCCCTCTCTTTTTATTTTTTAAAGACACAGGTAAGAGATATTTTTGTACCATATATTTATACTGCTCCTTTAAGGGCAAAAGTCCCCTTTCCCCCCACATGCAGGAGTTGGGTTGATGGATGAGGCAGCAACATCTGCCCCCATCACCCCCTCCCCTGCCAGCTGCCCAGTGCATGGGGGACCCAGCCCCACCCCCCATGTTTGTGAACAGAGGACATTTTTTGATAGTGCATAAAATTATTTTCCCAGACTGTTCTGCTTCCTTGTGTCTGTCTGTCCAGGGAGCAGGGACACACCATGCTGGCCACACCCCAGAGGACTGTACCACCCAACTACAGCGACTGCCCACTGGGAACTCCCCCATGGTCTCCTCCCACACTGTGGGACCCCCCAACTCCCCACCTTTCAATCCTCCCCCAAGGGGTGAGATCTAGCATTAGCTATGGGGACCACAATACAGGGGAGAACCACTGACTGGGTCAGCACTTAGCAGGAACCAGTGAAGCCTTGCTGTGTATTGGAAGGTGATGGGGGAGGGAAGTGGGGGACAGAGATTCCACCCTTTCATCCTTGCATCTCCTACAGACACCCACGTTTGACCCGTTTTGGGGAGTTCTGACCTAATTTAATTATTTTATTTACAAGGGGACTTTTACAAAAATAGAAATGGAAATTTGCCCCTGAGGAGGGGACAAGTGAGGGCCTCTGGGGGCAGATCTGGCTGGGAGGGCCTGCCAGGGGCAGAATCCAAGCCCCTCATGGTCTCCCCTGCTCTGTGCTGGGAAAGAGAGAGGGAAAAAGGGAAATTCACCCCGTCTCCCCCACTCAGACCCCATTAATGCCCCCATTAGTCCCCAATCACTGTCCCCACCAGGGGAGACCAGTCAGTGCCTCCCCAAATCCCCCCAGCTCCCACCTTTGCTGCCAAGACCCACCCTGCCCTGCCCCCCATTCCCAATTCTACATATAGGCAGCACCCTAAGCTACTGCCTGAGGGTGAAAGAAACAGCAACCCAAGCCACTGCCTGAGGGGTGAGCACAGCTCAGACTCAGGGTGGGAGGACAGCAGGGAACCAGCCCCCAGCAGACCCAGAGAGAGCCTGGTGTCATCTCAGTCCAGATGATCCTGGTTTGGGGGGTGGGGGATGCTGTGGGGTGCTCCCATCTTGGGGTACTCCTAAGAGTAGCGGACAAGCTTGTCGTAGTTCTGGTCCATGTTTCTACACAGAAAGATCGACAGCGACATGAGACAGACCTGGGGGAGAGAGACAGAGCAGTCGGGGGGGGTCCCACTGCCCCCCACTCCAGGACCCACAGAGAGCCCCCCTCCACAGTACAGTGTCCCCCTGCATCACAGCCCTGCCCCTCTCCCCAGTACAGCTCCCAACACCAAGCCCCATCCTGCCCCCCGTTACAAGAATCCCTTTGCTGTCTCATCCTTTCCAAAGCTGCTTTATTGCCAGGGGACCTGCACTTTGGGGGCAGCAGCTAGAGCCTCCTACACCCCAGCCTGCTAAAAGCGCCCCCTGCTGGCATGTCAGGTAAGGGTGATGCGCCTGCCCCAAGAGTGCTGCAGGCCGAGGCTGGAAGCTGTCTGTGAACAGCTGCGCTTCCTTGCCTGGCCACTGCAGGGTGCCAAATGCCACATGTCTGATCAGGAGGTATGCCAGGCACATGGAATTTACCTGAGAGGGAGGAGGAGATGATGGGGTAAGGGTCAGGACTGGCTGGACTCCCCCTCCCCGTGACTGGTGCCCCGCTCCTTGCCCACTGTCACCCTCAGCTACCACCCCAGGGACAGTTACCTTGATAATAGTCCAGATGCACATCTCTGGGGAAGCGGGAGGGGAAGGGTTAAAAGGAGTTAGTGCACAGGACAGACATGGACTGGGGTCCTCCTGAGACAAGCATGCAAGAATGGAGCTACAGGGAGTGTGGAGCTGAGCGTGTAAGGGAGTGTGTGGCACAAGAAGAAAGGTAGCCGGGCAGGTAAGAACATGCAGCCAGTGATGTGTTCCTGCATGTGTGCACAGGGAGAGGCGCAGCCAGGCAAATGCATGTACACTAGTCTACATGTGTCCACTCCATGATTGTGCATTCACAAACACACGCCTAAGCCACGTGTAAAAAAGTTGTGCACCACCCCACATGCCCATTACTGATGTGAACACATGACTACACTGAAGCGTGATCACCAACATACAAATGAGGCATGCTATGACCCCATGTGAAAACACAGCTGAATGGAAACATGCACAGCACACGTGCATGCTCCATGCTTCACACATGTGCGTCTCTGCCCAAGCCAGACCCCTGCATGTTCCAACGCACAAATGTGTGGTAACACAAGCGCATGATAAACTGCAAAACTGAGCAAGTGTGTGCACTCAAAGGGCCTGGGCACTATGCCAGCCAAGAAACTCACACACACTCATGTACTGATGCATGCAAGTCATATGTGTGCCTTGCACAACCCCCAGGACCCTGCCCCCACTGCACCCCACACACAAGTGCCACCTGCTGGGGGAGAACAGGCTTTCCTGGGAGTGTCTACGCAGCTCCCTCTGCTCCAGGGCATCAGCCAGGGCTGTGCCCAGCAACTGGAAGAACTGGGAGGAGGGGGATTGGGTTATACTGGGTATGATGGCCCCCAACACTCCCCTCAGTGGTGGCTGCAGGGACAACAGCACTGGCCAGATCACAACACCCCCTAGCAGCTGTTACCTCCAAGAGTGCCACGCCCAGGCAGATGCCCACGATGGTGATGATGTTATCGGCCAGCCAGGCCTTGACGCTCCTGGAGCAGCCCTGATTGGACGGCAGTGAGAAGAAGGGGCAGGGTCAGAAAGTCACTGGGGAGAGGGGGCTGCGAGTTTCCTCAAAACAGTGCCCTCAGCTGGGTGACTCCCTCATCCACCTGGCAAGGCTGTGAGCTTCCCTGCAGCAATGCCCCCAGCTGGAGTCTCCCCCAGTGTTGCGAGCTTCCCCATAACAGTAGCCCCAGCCATCAACTGCCAAGCACTGCAAACTTTCTAGCCAGGGACCCCACCACCCCCATCCCATCTCCAATGCTGCAAGCTTTCCCCAGCAGTGCCCCCTCCTCCTGCCCCCAGGCACTCACATCCATGAAGAGCCCCAAGTCATTCTGGAAGGAGCAGAAGCCATTCTCCAAATGGGTGGTGTTGAGCCCCAGGGTGGACGTGTTGCTGCAGGAGCATGGGTAGAGGCTGGAGGAGGCATTGGCTTGTACATCCTCATTCAGCTTCCAGTCAATGTAGGAGTCCCAGCCACAGCAATGCAGCTGGTGGGAGATAGGATGGGGGTAGTGAAGGGGCTGGGGGGATAACAGCTCTGGAAGTGGGGTGTGGAGAGCTGGGAGACCTGGGTTCTAACCCAGCTTGGGGAGGGAAGTGGGGTGTGAAGAGTTATGGGTGTGGGGGCAGGCTGGAGAGAGGGAGGGGAGTCTGGATGCCTGGGTTCATTTCCATTAGGACTGGACAGGGTGGTGGGCTGGGCAGGTGTCAGGGTCTCACCTGTTCCTGGATATAGTCCCAGCTATCATGCCCGTCCCCACGGGTTTTGCTTTCCCCGTATGTCTTGATCAGGTTTTTGACATAGTTCTCCACCTTGGTACCGAGCTGTGGGAGAGAGGAGGTGAGCTTCCCCACAGCAATGCCCACCCCCACCCCCATGCTGTGAGCTTCTCCACAGCAGTGCTCACCATGTCACGCTGCACATATACGATGATCCCGATAGTGATTTGGGTGACAAAGAGGAGAAAGAGGATTGCAAAATACTGTGGGAGAAGGCAGTGGGTTACTTGATGGCCAACCCTGCCCCTCCCTGCCTCCCCCACCTGAGCTAGGATGGGGAACACTGACCTCTCAGCCACCCACATATCACCAACCCTGCCCCCACCCCAGACTCTGCACCCCCCCCATCCCTGCCTCAGGAATCCAGGCCATACATGTAGAGGCTTGCCCCTCCCCTCCCCAGCCCCAGGGGGATGTGGCCCAGCATAGGCAGGATGTGGGAGCACCTGCACATCACATGGCCATGGCAGGAAGTTGCACTAACCAGGACTGAGCTTGTAAGGCGGGGGAGAAGATTCCTTTATGATAACCCTAATGACAATGAACCCAGGCATCAGGGATCCCAATATCTCTAGTATGATTCTATGAAATCCCAGACTAGACACCCAGCCCACTGCTCTAATCTACAGATCCCACTCCTCTCCCAGAGCTAGAAGACAACCCAGGCATCCAGACTCCCCCTTCCTCCTGTTCTAACCCATTGGATGGAGAACCCAGGCATCTGGGACCCAGGAGGGGAGGGGGATGGGATGGGATGGGATGGGGGAGCTGTGCACTTACAAATCCCAACATGCACTTGATCTCTTTGAGGGAACCCAGGCATCCGAGGAAGCCGATGAACATAGTGATGATGCCGACTCCAGACAGTATGTAGGACCAGACCTTGAGCCCATAGATAGAGGTGCCTGAGGGGAGGGAAAAGCTCTGAGCAAGGGTTGGGGGGGCAGGGGGCTGCACGTCAGGAGTGAGGGGCAACAGCAGGAGACCGTGGGTCAGGAGTAAGGGGCATTGTTGTAGGGGGTTGTGGGGTGGAGAAAGGGGGGTCACTCACCCAACGCAGCTGCAAAGCTGCTCCCATCAAAAAGGATCCAGAGGCCAAAGCCAAAGAGAAGGCTGCCCAGGAGCTGGGGGCACAGATGGGGGAGTTAATCCCTGGCAGTGCCTGCTCTCTGCCCTCCCAGGCTGGGATATGAGGAGTTAAAAGGCTGGGCGGAGCCCAGTCACAGTCTGTGAAGGCAGCTGCCCTCTCCAGGCCCCCCTCCCCCAGCTGGGTATCCTTCCCCATCCCTGGGCTCAGCCCAGATGGTGGGGTGGAGCCAGTGCAAGAGGCCCAGCCAGCTCCCCCCAGCCTATCCAGCCCCTCCCCAACTCTCCTTTCTCCAGCTCAGCCAGTCCCCCCAGCTCCCCCTCTGCTCCCCATACCCCCCTGTCCCAGCCAGCCCCCCATCCCTCCTGCCCCAGACCCCTTTCCCACACAGCCAGCCTCCCCAAGCTCCCCCATCATACTTACAAAGAAGATGATGTTGAAGATGAAGAGGAAATATATGGTAACACTGAGGCACCCCTTTGTGACCATGTCTGCACCTGAGGGGACATAATGAGGGATGTGTGCAGGCTTTGCAGCATCCCCCAGCATGGGTCGAAGCCCCCTCCTGGGGCAGCTGCAGCTGCAGCCGGTACCACCCCAAGGAACCCCGGGGTTCTCACGTGACATCACAATGGCACCCTATGGGGTGGGGTGGGGGGGTAGTGGCAGGGTTGGAGGCCCCAGTTCCAATCACTCCTGGATCAAGCCCAACTCTTGACCCCAAGCCCCCTGCCCCCTCCCCCAGCCCTGCCAGTTCCCCTCACTCCCAACTTGTAGCCTCCTGCCCCCCAACCCTGCTGGTGCCCCTCGCTCCTGAACCAAAGCCCCTGGTGTCCCCCCAGCCCTGCTAGTGCCCCTCACCCCAGTGGCTGCCCTGACTCCTAGGCCTTTCCAACTGCGTCTGTCTCTGCCTTGCTCAACACTGCAACATCCTGCGTCCGGGGAGGGGGGCAGGGTGGAGGAGGGTAAAGGCTGCGCATGGCCCCCAGGGAGCTGGTGTCAGGGGCCAGTGGCCAGGGCAGATGTAGGACTGAACTAGGATTGCCTCCCCCCAGGACCTCCTCCCAGCCCCATGGGATAGGAGCCTTAGGGGATATGAAGGGGGCTACGTGCCCCCACCCATGTGCAACAGTAGTGAGGTCACGGAGCAGAGGGGAGGCGGAAACGGGGGAGGGGAAGGCACAGAGCATCTCACCGCAGCAGAAATTTCCCTACTGTGTGGGGGAGGGGGGAAAAGCACCATCATGCATTGCACACATGTACTGCATCGTATCCAGACGCCGTCATGGTATCATCAGGCCATGCACACATATGCTGGCATGAGTCACACAGATGACATCATGCCTCATGCATGCATTGTCAGGCCTTGCATGCATGTCCATAGGCACATGTTGTGCACAGAGGCCCTCATGCGTCATGCACGCACCCTCAGTTATTGCACATGGATGCCATTGTGCACTGCATGTGTACTGTCGGGCCTTGCACACGCAGGTCAGTGTGTGTCATGCGTGTCATCAGGCATCACTCACACACACTAGCATGTGGCACATGGGTCCCCATTGCACACATACTATCAGCCATCGCACATGGACACCATCATGCATTGCACACATATTGGCAAGCCTTGTACATGCATGCCAGCATGCATCACACATGCAATCAGGCATCACACATGCACACCAGCAGTTCTGGCATATGGATGCCATTCTGCATTGCACACACACCAACAGGCACCACACACAGATGCTGTTGTGCATCGTGTATACATTGTCAGGCCTTGCACACACATGCCAGTGTGCATCACACAGTGATGCATTGCGCACATATCAGGCCTCACATATGCCTGCTGGCATGTATCATACACACACAGCAGTACGTGTGGCACACATATTATCAGGCATCACGCATGGATGCCGTTGTGCACTGACATGTCTGTTGGCCCTCTCTGATCTCCCCTCACTCCTGCTCAACTGGGGTCTCTCACCAGTCCGCCCTCACACTCTCCACACACAAATGTGCAGGGAGCCCCTACCCTTTCTCACACTTGCTCCTGTGCAAGGAGTAAGGTGGTGTTCCTGGATGCCCTCGTGCACACACATTCACTAGAACATGCTCACACACATGCCATGCCACACACACTCGACTCATATGAACTCGAGGTCCCTCACCGGCCCTTGGTTTGTGCCATCCCAGTGTCTTTGCACACCTGACCCTGGCCCAGGTCATGCACTTGTAATCGTGCAAGGGCAAGTGTGTGAGGAAATTCCTTGCCCCCAAGAAAACACCCCTTGATGTGACTCAACTCTCTGCTCCCTCCTGGCTGTGCTGGGGCACCAAGGTGTCCCCCAGACCCAACCCCCCAGATTCCCCCCATACACCCCCAGCCCTATGTCCTAGCCCTCTACATGCCCCCACCCCACTGATCCACCCCACCCAC